GATATTCTTTGGAAAATGAACACACCATTCGTTCGATCACCTTCAGGCTATTCGTCTCCATTTGAGACATTGCATAAAATTTCTGCAATACACAATCACAGAGATTGGCAAACATCAAGATTTTCATATCTAAGGAATATATAATAATTGTATGGGTATTATAGAAGGACGTTCTAGGGAAAATAGAACAAAAATACTTCATTCGTATGAGAATTATGTAATACCGTCCTTGTCCAAAATCCATCATGGTTACTTTAAAAATTCAGTTCATTCTATATATTTTAACTCTTTCTTGCCTTTGGCTAAAACTGATGATTCAGAAGGGTAATTCACGCAAGCACAGCAAACTTATGACTACTAATATATGCAAAAGAAGTTTGAATCAAATCCGTCAAATGTTAGTATATTAGATATGTAATGGATTCGTTATTCTTGTTATTTAGAAAAAAGTCTGAAAATGTCAATCATAACATTATGTATTCAGAGAACATCAAAAAATAGATTTTTATGAAAAAGAGTAGTTTCAGACTGTTGATTTTAACTGGATGCAAAACCCATTTCTACATGTTTTATAATTTAAAAGAATTAGATTTTTTTCTAAAATGGTATTTATAGGGACTATAAGATCAAGAAAGTAGTGGCACGTGATTGACGTAATGTGTTAGATAATATTTGCATTGACATAATACCAATCAAAGGCATATCAAACAATCCCGCATGCAAATAGATGAGAGAAACATGTACAGTGCTCATCGATCAGCCTGTTCAATAATAACCCATGGCTAAATCGAACAATCGGATTTTAGGCAAATGAGCAAGAACAATATTGTACAATAAATTCATGATGCAACATTTTATGTGTTCAAAGTCAATGGAATAACCATCCTGAAAAAAATAAGAAACAATATACAAAAAAGAATTGAATTATGGATCATGACTAAGAGTAGTTAATTTGATGGACACACTTAAGTTGAACGTGGTTAAATTCCTATTGAAATAATCTTTGCAAGAATAAAACAACATTTTTCTCTTGAAAATTTAGAGAGTCTTTATACGGTATTAGGCAAAAAACTGTTAGAGCAATACTTGCGGGGTTAAAATATGAAATACGAGGGGGTGGGTGAACAGTTGACTGAAATCTACACCCACACCCTCGATTATCTCTGTAACAATTGATTTCATCGTATTTACTGTAAATTATTTGCAATAATGTAGAGAAATTTTTAACTCATTAAATATACCTATGTCAACTAGAACCTATCACTAAACAATAAAATCGAAATTACGAAGAAGAAAAAATTTATTTTGGTAAACGTTTTTATCATCATATTAATTATATTCATGTTTTGTTCCTTTGATTTTATGATTTTAGTTGAAAGGAATAACCATCTTGTGTTTTCTTCTAACATTGGTGTCTGTTGCTGTTGAAATCATGATTACAGCGGAGAACCACAAAAATACCAAACCATTATTAAACTACTATAAGGACTCAAGTCTACAGAAACAATTTTAATAGCATGAGTATAGTTTATATTGAATAAAAAACAGCTTAATATAAAACGTTCGATGATCATTCTCATGTAAAGGTGTGGTTGTTAGTCAAGTTTAAGTGAATACCTACACTCTTGTTATTTTTTTTATCGTATTGTTTTAGGTGAAATGCTTCTATTTGACATAGTTGCGCACAGAATCACCATTTTTGGCGACAACCTATTCAGAATTTGTCGAAATTGAATGTAACTGCATCGTTTTTCTTGCAGTTTTAATTGAATTAATTAATACTTTGTTTTCAAATAAAACAAGTTTTGCATAAAATTTCGATGAAAACGCAAAGATTATTGTACATTTTACAGTGAATAAAGATATTTTCAACATATTTTTTACTGGATTGAAGTGTAAAACGTGATGGAACTGCTTTTATCATTTATGACCAAGTCGAACATCTCACAAAGTTTACGTACTATAACAATTATGACTTGACATGATTTTTATCATTATCTCTATGAATGTATGTGGTCTGATGACTTGAATAGATCAGCTTGGGTCTGTTTATTAGTTGTTTATGTTCTTCGTTTTCATCTTATGTATTTTCTAAATTATCTCATATATTTTAATTTAAAATTTTAATTTCACACATTTCTATCGATCAATTTCTTTGAACTCTATGAAAATATTGATCATTTATGCCTGTTTCTGCTATTTTTTTGTCATTTTTGAAAAACATCATCGGACATATTGATTATTGTATTATTTGATACCATTCTTTTTCTTGACTGTGATTTAAACATTATCATCAATGAATGACCAATTGAAAGCAGTATGGAAGATGATAATTGTCTTTTTTTCACTCTCTCCGAATTGTTTAGAATTTTTTCGATTGAATATAAAATAAATGATTTTTTTTTGCCAAAAAAGACGTTGAGAATGTCTTGTCATAAGTCAGATCCTTGAAACCATCTGATGAATTTTATCGCCATCATGATAGATTTATACAACCAACACTTCACATAATGATTTCAATGAGTTAATGGTCGAAAAATTTGCTTTCGAAAGACAATGGTTTCAGTATTTGTTGTATTTGAGACAGAAGTCTTTTTCTTTTTACTTTGAGTTTTTTTTTCTTCATAGGAAGAAAAACGTGAGTTTCATTTGATTTTGTTTTGTCTTTTATTTGCACAACTCGTCACTTCTCACGACATGCCTTTCATATGAAGCAGCAAAGAAAATATTTCATCAAATTACGAGTAAGAAATTTATATGTAGAAATGGCTAAGTCTACTGAATTCCTTCATCGTCTGTCGTACGAATGAAGCTTTATTTTAACTCAAAATTAAACTGAGGATCATTGTTTAACCCTTAAGATTGATGAATAAAAAAACATCAGCAATTATCAATTAATTTCATAGTATTAACTATTAACAAATCACTTAATACTTAACATCAAGTTTTTCTATTTACCACTTAATTCACATAAAATTAGGTTTTCATGAGTGTGTTAGGCGAATACCGTTTAGTTTCGAGTATTCCTCTACTTCAATAAGGATTCAACATGGTGCTGCAGGATCCATTTAAGAGAAAACTCATGCTTATCTTCTTCCTCCTGATTAGCTCGAACATCACTATGTTTTCTCTTTGTAAGAGTATAGAAAATCTTGCTTAAATCTGATTAGCTAGAAGTTTCCTCATTTCAATTAATCTAATATCAGTAGAGTTTTTCTCCAGTCTTGTAAGGTGAAAGAGTAGTGTTGTTCAATCTGATCAGAGAGTTTATCAGAAGTTCTCTCTTAAGTGACTCGGTAATCACACTTTAAGTCCTTATTACGGCAAAGAAAAACTCGAAATTCAAATTATATTTGCCTAACACAAAAAATGAAGTCGTGGTTATTGAACTTTTTTCATTAGTACTAAACTTAATTAAGTCGGGTGAAAAAGAAATGATGTATCTCTCGTTTGTTAGCTGACATTCGTAATGAAATAAAGCAAACACTTAAATCGATTAGTGACTATGAAAGCGAATCTTTGCTGTCTCTCACAGAAGCATGTTAATTATTAGAAAAAAAACTCACGATAAAGAATTCCAAAAAAAAAAACTTTTTAATTGCTAAAATGAATTCTAGAAAACCCGCAAATAGATTGATTGAAGACGAATCAACATTAATTTATTTGTACACAATCATATCAAATATGCGTGAGAGTAGTTTCAATGACGTTCTGAACCAAACATCGTGTTAGGCTAGTTAAACACTAGACAGTTTAACAAGAAGTTTCCAAAAATCTTGACTTCCATTATCCTCAAAGGAAAGAATGAATATGGTGAATGCTGGGTTCTTATATATCTTCAATCAGTATTCTCGAATATTCATTTTCATTGGGTAAATTGTATAAGTAAACGTTGTTCTCTATTGACAGGAAAATTAGAAAATTCATTCGTACACATTCATATTTTAAAGACGAAGATGAAATTCAGATTACTTCCGGCACTTATCTTAAAGTAAGTGATCAATCGAATGCTGATCGAACTATTTGGTCTTAGTCTTCTACAATTATCAAAAGCAGACAAATTGATCGTTGAATATGAAAAGTTTTTCCTTTTTTTCTTCACAACACATGAGAGTGAACCTATCTAGTAGTGTCATTTATATATAGGATTTTGTATTTTCATATAGTCTCTCGGTGATTTCTGTTTCAGTAGTAGAAACAAAAAGATATTTAGAAAATAAAATTCGTTCTCTGTATGATCAAATAGATAGAATATGTTTCATCAAAAAAATATCTCATCATATTTTCGCTAACAATTTTTGTCACCTTCAATCAAATAAATAAAGATGAAAACATCAACTTTTACATTGAAAAGATGGACAATAATCTGAACATTTCAAATTGACTATTTTATCGCTATGATCGAACTGTTATAGAACTATACATAAAACTTTCGAATATTTCTCCAACAAGAAAAGAAACGTTTGTTTTTCAATTTATATAGCTTAAATCAAATGGCTAGTCGACCCCATCTGAGTATTTTTTTAATATCTACTTTTATTGTGATGATAAATGTGAAATACGCAGAGCAATTATTGTTTTTTGAACGTACAAATTCAAAGAACTTTTCATTGATTCATTCATGTCTTGTCAATTATTGTTAAATTAAGTAATCCTCGATACAAGTATGCAAGAAAATTCATAAAAAAAAGAATCTTGAATAAATCACTTAAAATTATTTCTTTATAAATATTTATTATGAATTTATTTTAGATCGAGATTATTCGAAGTATTCTCATAATAAACTATATAACTCGACTGATTTTCTTCTAAGAGCAATGACGACAGTCAATGCATCAAATTTATGTTCAATCTGCAATAAATCGTCAGTTAAATACATTTGTATTGGATGTAAAAAAAATTTTTGTTCGAAAGATTTCAAAGAACATGAACAACAACTATCAATAATATTCGATAATGAAATAGTGAGATCTCACAATGAACTTCTTGAACAAATTCAAATGTTAGAAAAATCAAATTATTTATCATTGAATCTTTTTGCTCAAATTGAACAATGGAAAAAAGCAACAATCAATAAAATAGAAAACGTAGCAGAAAGAACTCATCATGAACTTATCGAACTAATTGATAAACAAAGAATGAAAATAACAAAACAACTTGAATCAATTACAAAAGATATTCGTTCCTGTCAAGAAGAAGAAATTTTTCTTGAAAATGATATTGATCGATTGAAACAACAGATCAATGAAATTCAACAAAAACTTGAACAATTTATTCGAAAACATACAAATATAAGTATCATTGTTGACAATGATCAAATTGACTGGAATCGACTCATCTATTTCAAAGAAAAACAACCAAACTGTGAGTATATTGAACTAAAAAATATAGAAGAAAACAAATTTTTCAATGAATCCATTCAATTTAATTCATTTATAGATTAGAGTTATTTCAAGAGACACACAATGTTCAGAAAATAAAAAGAATAAAATATCATTCGAAATTATTTTTTTTTCATCCGAAATGAAACACATTCAACTTTTTGAAATTTCATCTCGGATTCTCATAGAAAACGTTTCTAGAAATAGCATAGAATTTCATTTTAGAAAAGAGTTTAACTATCAATCATTTGATGTTACGAGAATCTGACTATTCATATCAAAGCTCATATTTACCTTCTACTAAAGATAGACTTGGCTTCTATCTTCTATTCATGGATTTCACTTTTTTTTGTTTGTTCTCAATCGATATCTGAAATCTGAATAAGCAAGTATATCAATGAATCCAACAAATAGAAATTCTTTTCGGAAGTTTAATAAATACTAAAACAAGAATGATTTCAGAAGATTTCCATAAATCTATATGATTTTTATTCGTCTCAAAATAAATTCATCAGTGCATTATTGAATGACAAACGATGGAACAACAAATTCAACGTTTCTATGAGAATCGAATATTTGAGTCATTACAATTCTTGATGCAATAGGTAGAACATGTTCTCGTTTGAATGATAAGATCTTTAAAACGATGTGAGACAATGTTCAAAAATCTCGATTGAATATTGTTTAGTATATTTTCTGTTGTATTTAATTAAATTCGATAGATTATTGATTGAATGGTGTTCATTGACTGAAATGAGAATCATTTTTTTTTCTGAATTAGAATAGGATACAAAAACATGTTTACTGACAAATTATTTTAAGTGTCATTCGAAGTACGAATTGAATAATACTATACAATCATGTACTATTAGGAAAAGACGCCAGTTTTATAATGAGTTCAACTATTGATATTATCATTTGACCGTAGGATTTCTCATGCTGTATGATCTCATTCTGAAATTGCATTAAGATGAAATGTTGAGCACCAAAATTTTTCGTCTAAACTCTTCACGGTTGATAGAGAACTAATAGGAAACTGTGAAATAACTTTCCATATCTACACATAATGATTAATTTTTATTGAGTGTTCTCTTCTCAGCAGCTTACCTATGATTTGTCTTTTTCTTTTGAATAGAAAAATAGTCATTAAACATAGTGAAATATTCGATGAATGTTATGCAATACATATTATGAGAACAAAGTTACAGTGATATATCCGATTTGAAATAGTTTGATTTTTGACTGAATATCAATGAGTATACTGTCCGTTTTCACTTTGAGAGACAATGATATATATTGAGAAATTTTATTCACCTCTATCGAAAAATAAAATGCTTCCAAAAATCGATTCTTCTTTCTGATGCAATAATTTGAGACAACTTAAAATATCATGGGAACTCTAAGATAAATCTTTGACAACATTTGTTTCTGTACTTTAATCAGATTGAGCATTATGAAGTTTCCTCAATTTAGAATATTCTCATGACGAATGCTTCGAGACGATATTAGAAAAGGGTACTGAATGAGAATGACGAAGAATAGGATGAATGTGTATCCGAAAAGTGAAAAAGAAGAAAATAAATGCGAATCTTTGAAATATCATTCAGATTAGTGAATTCTTATAAGTTCTTTTCAGTGTTTCGCCAGACTAATTCGTTTCTTTTTACGCTACACTTGAGTCTTTCAACAGGAATCATCAAAACATTCGAGTTTGAATGTAAAGATGAGCACTATTTGTTGAGTTTTGAATGAATCACAAGTGACACAGAGTTGCATTTCAAGAGAGTTTTCTAAACGTCGAACATTCGTACGATTCTTTTGAGCTTTTAATTGGAACAATTGAAAGGCGGTACGAAGATGCTAATGATTGTTTGGTTATGCATTTTGACTTAGACAAGAAGTGATTTCTTTCAGTTTTGATGACTGGAACTGCATTCGTGTTCTATATAATAAAATCGAGAGCTTGAGGGGATCGAAGGAAAATACGAAAATCATTTGAAATTTACAAGTTCTTTTAAGTTAATCTCAACAATAACATAAATTCAGAGTTGATATACATCGAAATAAAACGGTGTTTTGATTTCGAATGATGAGTTGATCGATATTTATTAAATATTTTTGAATCAAAACTTTCAACGCTCATATAGAGAAGCAAACATTTTCTTTCTTTCAAAAGTCACAACCAAATAAAAAAATATATATATTCGAAAGAAATAGAAAAATTTTCTTTTAAAGATAATTGTGAGAAAATTAAAGTTCGATTTTTTTCATTCTCAACTGACATTCAATTAAAAGTGAAAAAAGGTATTATTCTAACAGTTCGTTGTGAACTTTCTTTGTTTGAGTGCATTATTAATCTCGACTTTTCCGAAAATAAATATTTCTATCAAATATTTATTTCAACAAACTATTGTTGCATCTTTGAAGTTTTAAATGATCAGAAAAAGTTGACAACGTTTTTCTCAATTATTTGGTCACATTTCAAAAGTTCATCAGATTGATTTTATGAAAATCGAACTGAATAACACTTTATTAAGTGTTGCTTGCTGTGTCAATTGAATATATATTCCTAACCACATTTTCTTATTTTACTATTGAAATCGTATCGAGAGTTCTCGACGTGAATTTCATTTTACATCTAGTATTGATGATATTCAGTTGATTTCCTTTCTTTGAAAAATTATTGAAACGAAAAGTCCAATTATATATCCATGTCAAAAGAACAATTATTGACAAGTATTTAAAATGATCGATTGATTTAGATAGAAACTTGACAGTTATTTCCACGTCATACAACTATTTTGAACAATTATCTATTCAAAAATAAGGACACTGTCAAATTTTCTTCACCGAAATTAATGATTCATCATGGCACTTTGCTGTCAACGCGTGTTTGAAAGGTGAAAAGCCTTTCGACAATAGTGAGATGAATAAAGAGTTCGACCTTGAATTTGAATATTTTTCTCTATTCAAGATATAAAAAAAATGAAGATATTACTATTGAGGCGTTGCTCCATACGACAATTGAGTAAAACTGATCTTTCTCTTTCTATATATTTATCAAATCTCTTTATTGAAAATATCGCTTTTCATCGAGTTACATTGATCCAATGTCAATGAGATGAAATGTGTTTTGTCTTAGCACCATTACTACGCAGTGCAAATCTGAGTGCTAATGCAAAATGGATACGAAATGGTGTCACTGTAGCTGGAGGAAATGAAGGAGGCGATGAAATGAGTCAACTCTACTATCCGTGGGGTCTGTGTGTTGATGATGATCAAACTATCTACATTTCTGACCATAACAATCATCGTATTGTGCAATGGAAATGTGGTGCTACAACCGGTCGAATTGTAGCTGGTGGAAATGGACAAGGAAATCGTTCTGATCAGTTAAACGGTCCGTATGATATCATGATCGATAAAGAAGGAAATAGTCTTATTATTTGTGATTATGGCAACAAAAGAGTAGTTCGATGGCCTCGTCAATTTGCTACAAATGGAGAAACGATCATCTCAGATGTTGCATGTATTGGTTTGACAATAGATGATGATGGGTTTCTCTATATTGTTGATAACGATAAACATGAAGTTAGAAGATATCAAACAGGAGAAAGTCAAGGAACAGTAGTTGCAGGTGGAAATGGACCAGGAAATGGACTCGATCAGTTGAATTGTCCGAGATACGTATTCGTCGATCGAGATCATACAGTCTACGTATCGGATATGATAAATCATCGTGTGATGAAGTGGATAGAAGGTTCAAAACAAGGCATTGTTGTAGCTGGCGGTCAAGGTCAAGGAAATAAACTGACACAGCTATCAAATCCTTATGGAATTGTTGTGGATCAATCAAGTAGCGTGTATATAGCTGATTATTCGAATCATCGAATAATGCGTTGGACTCAAGAAGCTACACAAGGAAATATCATGATTGGTGGAAATGGTTCTGGAAATCAATCGAATCAAATCTTTGGTCCCATCGGTCTATCATTTGATCAAGAGGGCAATCTCTACGTGAGTGATAATGGAAACCATCGAGTACAAAAATTTAACATTGATCGACATTGATGATTTCTGAAAATTGACATTGCTTTAACGCTCTCATCATAATTTTAAACAAGTGATCAAATAATAAGGTCATTTTTTGGTCAATTCCTATCAATGATTTCTTTTCTAGCTATTCTGACATTGTCTAGAAAAAAAAACCTTTTCTGGTTTTCTGTCATGTAAAAATAACAAAATTCATTGTATCAAGGTATTAAAAACCACCAACGAAAGAGATATGTACTGTTTTCAAACGTTGACAATTATCAAGACGAGAAAAGATCTTATGCTCATAATCGTTGTTGAAGATATGAAGGACAATAATAATAAAATATCGTGTCGAATGTGCTTTAAAAAATTGAGAAAGGGCTACTTCATTGCAAAATCTAATGTCTGCTCACATTATGAGTTGAAGGTCGATTTGTAATACGCGATTACCAGTCAAATGTATTTGATTTTTTCACCCGACACATATAGAATTCTATCGAATCGAGGGTGTGGGTGGGTGTTGATGAAGAGATAGAGAACACGATAACCCACACCCCACCCGCCCACACCACCCACACCCACACACACGCCCCTGTTGATCAGTCTTCTTCAGATATTCATATTCAGTCACATGAGATGTGAGACAATCAAAAAGACTTGTCCAATCGCAACCGAGTAAAAAATATTCACACTGAACCAGTCGTTTTGGACATCCTTTTGATTAATGATGTTTGGCATCGTAACGAGGACCTATGAACAAGCAATGAGTATGGGTTGTTTGTAAATTTGAAATGATTTTTTCCTCTGCAAGATTTCGGATGCAATTCGTTTTCAAAATTCAACATCGACAAGTTGGACAAAGTATTTGTTCATTTTCGAGCTTAGAATCGGTCGAGACATTATGAAAACAAGCGAAACACATAAAATGGCCATTGACACATTGAAACATATGTAATTTGAAAATGTCTAAACAAATACAACACAATAAAATCGATACAATACGATCTGAAAATGAATGAGATCTGTGACCGGAGATCGTTCTACTTTATGTTTGATGAAGGTTCGTCAATTTCATTGGTTATACAATCTATTCTGGAAATATCCTTTTCATATACATATCAGACATGACGTCTGTTATTTCGACTGATCCATTTAATATTACCATATTGTTCAGTAACTATCGTGATAAATGTTGTGTTAGAAAATAATACAAGCAGTTATTAATAGTACTTGTTTTGATATGAAAGCAAAATCGCAATTATTCAAGGAAAAAAAATTCTAGTTAGATTTCTATGTATGTAATGTCAATGTTATTTCAACAGACATACATAACGCAAGAACGAAAAGGTGATGCGATGTGGTAATCGTATACTGTATTATCATTATTATTTTCTTTTTTTTTTAGGCAAATTTCATTTTGCGATGCACTGGTATGATTGAATCGTGAATGAAAATGTCCGAATGATGACAAACGATCTTGCATCTTCGTGTTGATTTTTTCTGTGTTTGCAATGAATAACAGTACTCACATCTCACCCGTTTTTAGTTGTTCTCATTGTTAAATTTCCCTCTTCACATTCTCCTTGCTTTTCTTAACATCATTTTAAACTTCTGAATAGAACGAGAGTGTGAATCTACACATCATAAAAAGAAATAGTACTTCTTATCATCTTCTTAGAAAAAACAATTTCAAACAGTAACAATTAACGAAAATAGAAAGTTCTATGTAAAATGGATCATAGAACATAAATTGAACTGTTTTGCTCGAATAAAGTTGGTTCAAAAATGTGGACTGTGAGCGACGATGAAGATTAAGACTTTTTGGTGCTTCGTCGACGATGAAACAGAGAAAGAAGAGAAGCGAAGAAGTAAAAGAGGATGCCCATAAGAACGCATACAATGAGTAATGTAGGAAAATGTTTCGAATTTTTATCCATCACAATACCTAAAAAGAAAGTTTCAAGACATTTTAATTTGAAAACAAAATATTGATTAACTCACCAGCTAATTTTTGAAAGACCAATCCTCCGAGTGAGGCGCTGCACAAAAATACACTGAGTAGTAATGGAGTGACATTCAATCGTTGATTGATGAAAGCGAATGATAGAGGGAAAAGTGGAGAGAAAACTATACCAGTGAGTGAGCCAAGAATAAACAAACTGTACACAGACAATCCGATTGTCCATACATAAATTATCCATATTATGCCCAATGCTAATCCACCAATCCAGAGTGTAATGGATGCTACGTCAACTGATACAAACAGTGTTACAACAGCACAAATCAAACGCCCAAACTAAAGAAAAATCTGTTCTCACCATACTGATCCAAGAACTAAAAATCTAACTCACTGAATACGAAAGCCAGTACAAAATCATACCTACAGAGGCAGCTCTCGTTGAAATTTGAAATTGTGCCGAATTAAGATAAGAAAAAAAGAATTTACCAAATGTTTGATCGAGAGCGGTAACGAAAAATACGTAAGCAGCCCATAGAATGGGCATGACTATGCTATAGTAAGAACTACCAGAGTTACGTTTTTGAGGCGAATTTTCTGAATCATCAGGTTGAACTTCGTCAACAGGTGTCGTGTTCACGACACTATAATTGACTTGTTTAATCTGAAGTGTTTGACGTCGCGTTCGATGTTCACAAATGGCAAAGATCAAATGGCCAATGGCTATCAGTAAGCAAAGACCCGCTGCAATTGAATATGGAATCTTGATATTTGTTGAAGACGAAAATGAGAGATTTCTTATTGTAGAACTGATATTTGAATTGGATAATTCATGCTGCTGTCTTTTACCGAGAAATCGACCTACGAGAACATTTGCTAATGCAGCACCAAAACCAAAGCCCAAGTGAACTGTATTCAATGGAGTTGATGCATGCTCATCCCACATAGCCAATATAAGGGTTGTGCCTCCTAAAACAAATGTTGTTTAATATTTGCTGATTTTTAAATCATTCAGAAAATTGACCATTATCGGTGAGTCCTTGAGAGATTCCTTGACAGAAAAACAAAGTTGACAAAACCAATAATGAGCGAATATATGGAGTGACCAAAACGACTAGAAATTATTAAATGAACGAGTGACAAAACATTCAATTTTACTGACCAACGGATGGGATAAAAAATCCGACAGCAAGAAAAACTTCGGGATAGCGTTTAACCATTGTTTTCATAGCACCTCCAACTATATTTCCAGTTATGTATCCACCACTACGAGCAACTAAAATAGTGCTGATTCCAGTGAAAGCTACATCTGTCTGCAAAGCCAATATTTTTAAAGTTGGACCAACTAGTTCCCCATGAATTCCCTATTATCAATCAACAAATCTTGTAGATGAAGCAGCATTTGCAAGATAACTAACCAGAACAATCCAAGATGCCACCAAAAAACCTGTTTTGAGCAATTCCCAAGGTCGAGAAGTGTATATTTGTAGAGCTGTTTTCTTTTTCGTATTGACTTCAATGCCCTCTAGTGAAGCCATTGATCTTCTTCTTCTTTATTGACTAGCAATCGATGATAATGCAAAAATAGAAAAATAAAATTCATGTGATATTTAACTTTCAATGTTAATGTGAGATAACTATAGCTGATTAGTAAAAATCGAGAAGAATGTCACCCAAGCTAATGAAAGAATTCTAAGGCGCAAAGTAGATTGTGTCTTTTTTCAAAAGTCCATGATGACTCTTGTCGAGCAATACTGCATAGAGGAATCAATATTCATAAGAAAAGGGACATACTCACAGATGTAATATGATCGAGTAACTTGCCTTATTATAAAAATAAAAAGAATGAAAGAACTATTAACAGATAAATGCTTCAAAATTCACTCGTTTTTTTACGTTTTTTTCCACTGATACGTATACATGTGCATCACTGTCACAGTTTGTTCCTTATCTATTTTATGGTTTCATTTAACAGTAAAGATTTGAAAAGATAACTCAACTTCTTTAATAAAGTATTCTATCTATCATGTTTTTAAACTCATAACCGCAGCAGACCTATTTTCTTTATTTTTCGTATGTCATCTCGATCAATAACAATACAAAATCAAAGTACTTCTGCGATAATACCTTCTCTATGCAAATGAATAGACTCAAAAGTAAAAACAGCTCACATCATCAAATGACAATAAAATTAGTCCTTTCCTTTGTATGTGCACGTTGGTCGTATAAAAGCTGTATGCCCTTTGTGAGGATTCGCATTCACATTCATATCTGCAGAAAGAAAATTAATAATGAGAACGTTTCTCGTTGCGAATGATGCTTTTGATCAAAACCGAACAAATTTTTTATTTACTTATAGTTCATTTATTAGCAACAGAAAAATTTGTATGAATTCGTGATTTCGACAGGTATTGAGTATGGGTTGATTGCAAATTAAAACTAATATATTTGCATACATTTTTAACCAATATAATTAAATCTAGCTTCTTACAAGATGAAAATCATTTTACTTAAGCCCTAAAAACAAAAATATCCTATTATTTATAGATTGAAATATATAAGAATTAGGATGTTTCCGATTGTAAATGATGTTTCAGGAATAACGCAATGCACTTTTTGACATCGATCGTTTCATTTAAAGTCAGAAAAAGACATCCTATATTAATAATGTTTATGCTGAAAGATATTATAAAAGGGTACAAATTATATATTTTATATTGTAACTTTTTAATAATTTTTGTTCGATTGAGTCTTTTATCGGATTTATATTTACGAAAATTAAACTTGAGTTATTCTTATTTCAAAGCTCGATTATTTTTCAATCCACCATATAAACAATATGGTTCCATATATGGTTTATATGAAGAAACTCGTCCTGTTTATACTATCTCTAATGTTGAATTTCTTCATGAAATATTATTTTAATAACTTTCCTGTTTTCATTTTCACCATCTTCCTTTTATAACACGTTTATCAAATGGAAACCATATGCATTTATTTGGAACTTACGGTGATCATTGGCGTCGTCAAAGACATACTATTAATCCAACATTTACGAATTCAAAACTTAACTTAATGT